ATATACACTGGACTGCGTTCAGGAATACGTCCAGATAACTTTAAGTTATAGGTTATGTATATTATAGCAAAAATGCACCCTAGAATTATCTAGGTGTAATTCTTGAATGCAGCCCTGCTCAAAAAAATTATGGCATAGACAAATTTTGGGTAAAAATTGGCGAACTTTGACTAACGATAACTTTGCGAAAAATTGTCATAGGAATTTTTTAAATTATCGGACGATTTTTTTTTAAATTAAAACTTGAAATCTCTACTTTAAGACGGTGTAGCCAGATTTTAAGTTTAATGCATCCCACTATCACTGTAACTCTTAAAATATGAGGGTATGTTTGTCATATTGAAAATTGAAAAGTTTGACGGAATACACGGACTTTGTAAAATTTTTTTGCGGAATGTCATTTGCATATATAAAGTTCGAACTTTCTCCTTTAATTAAAAAAAAAAACTAAGTTGCTGTGATTTTTTTCGACAAGTTACAGCAATTCAAAGCTATCCTTACATTTTTGACATACATTTATACTATCGACATTACCTGCATTATCGAATACGTATCACGAGCTTTCTCTCTGAATGGATTTTGCACATTGTGTTTCTGCGTGTGTGTAAATATCATGTTGCCTCCGCATTGTTCGATCATTGCTTGCAGTCGATTCCTCATATAATATTAATGCAGGTGGTAGGCCCTAATTTCTTTTTGCGGAATTAAAATTAAGAGATTTGGCAAGACAATCTGTGCCAACCTCAGAGACTTATCACAAGCTCTAATACAAATCTGGAATCACAGACAGATGCGTTCCGCATTTTCATAGGCCAAGTTTACATTGTGCACTTATAAATGTACCAGAGAGAAACCTGAGAGAGGACATGACGGTAACCGCTGGAAACGTGTTGACTCTTACTTTGCCCGTTACTTATTATCATTTGGTTTCTAAAGATTAGAAAAAGACAAAGAGTAAGTTGAACCGAAATTAAAGTTAATCTACGTTGGTGGAAATGGGCATAAAAGTTCCATCTGGCACCAATTTGTTAAGAAAGAATTGAATTTGCTGTTAAAAAAATCTCGAATTGTAACTATGAAATTTTTAGTTTAGAAAATTTATTCTTTCTTGAATTTTTATTTTTTCGGTTTATTACTAAAAAATCACGTCATATGGAATGCATGTCTGATTAATAAATTTAAGTTACGTTAACCATGTTTCTTTATTTAATATTCTGTAAAGTGTCCAATTGGACAATTAAATGTACAGAATTATCAGTACAAAATTATTTTTGTGAATTTAATTGCAGATGCAAATATGACATGTATAAACAAATAATTAATAAGTAATTTGCCAAATGTTAGCGTAACTGTTAATGATATAACACTAACTTTTGCAAATATAAAAATAAATTAGTGTTACATGAAAAATATATTTTGCAATTATATTCAACAGTTACACTAACATTTAATTGTCCAAGTGGACATTTTTTACAACATATCAAATAAAGAAACATAGTTTCTAATGTGACTTAAATTTGTTAATCAGACATGCACTCCAATAAAATTTCATGGTTACAATTAGTTTGTGAAACATTTAAGTTTCAGATATTTGTTTATATCTCATCGAGCTATCTCAGATTAAAGAAAAAATCATGTTTTTACGTCAATTTATTGCAGAGAAAATGTAAATTTAACAAGAATTTTAACGTAAGAAATTAGACGCGCGTTATGCGCGTTACGTGTTAATCGCCGAGCAGTTCAATCTTCCCCACTCGATTGTGCGCTGGCTTCTCTCACTCCGCCCAGCGCACTGCCTCGCTCGCGTTCTTCAACTTCCCAATGATTTTAAATAAACTTTTTCGGCAGCAAAAATTGGAGAATTTTTTAACAGCAAATTCAATTCTTCCTTAACAAATTGGTACCAGACGGAACTCTTAATCTTAAATTAGAGCCACAGTAATTTTTGAAAAAAAAAAAAAATGATTTAATGTCTCTTAATAATCGGAGGATAATCTTTTTTTTTAAATTTGTAAAAAAATGTCAGATGTCGAATGCTTCATACGGCTATTTGATATGATGCATATTAACGGAATTATACCATTTTTTTATACGGAAAAAAATACTCACTTTTTAAAGTCATTTTATAATAGTTTAACTGCAAAAAATCGTTTTATTATTAAGTGTACGTGATAATGCAATTTTTGAAGAAGAAAAATCATCCCTGTAAATTGCTGTGTGACTGCTCAAAGATGAAGAAATTCAGACTTCCACAGACAGGTTTTTAGTGAACAAATAGCTTTTTGCAAAAACTAATGAATATTTCGGATTTGTTCAGAGCTAGATTTGTTCGTCATTACGAGGGCTACATTTTACGAGAATTTCAAAGCTTTACATTTAAATCACAATGAACAGAGAGCGAATGAAAAAAAGGCCTTTTTCGGTGTTTTTTATTTTTTTTTCTACTGAACTAATAGGTCGATTTTAACGTTCCACGTCTCAATTTATAGTTATTTCGAATACCTACATTTTTTATATCAATTTTTTCTTATACAATAAAAATCTTTTGTTTTATAATCGAAAAATGTGCTTTTTGCAACTATTCGATTTTTTTTCGCATATTTTCTTCACAAGTCTCGAATCTCAAACATACGCATTTTTTTCTGATGGTCTTTCGAGACTTTCGTGAAAAGAAATACTGGTTTATAATTTTTTTTCGGCAAAATTCTACTTCTACTGAACTATTCTTACTATTCGATTTTATGAAGGAGGGGTATACTATACAGGGTGTCCCATTTTAAGTGTCCACCCTAAATATCTAAAAAATAACGCGTTGTAGAAAAAAATTTTAAAGATAAAAGTTTTGTGTTTTGTTCCGGGCTATTTAATGACGACCTTTATTCGACCTTAGCCACAACCTTGAAGGTCATATGAAGGTCAAATCTAATTTTTTTAAATGGGAACCCCCATTTTTTATTGCGAATTTGGAAAGAGCAGGAAATTTTACGTTCAAATATGACCTTGAACATGTACTGGACAACGACCTTCAAGGTCATTCCAAGGTCATATTTTTTTTTTACGAGAACCCGTTTCTTTCATTGTGGATTTGAAAAGAGTTAAATGTTCACGTTCAAGTATGAACTTGACTATGTCCTGATCTACGACCTTCAAGATGATCCAGGGTCAAAGCTGTTTTTTGAATGGAAACCCCTATTTTTTATTGTGGATTTGGAAAGAGCGGGATATTTTACGTCCGAAATGATAGTTTATAATACATATGCTTCAGTAACCTTCAGAAAGTGAAATGTTTAAAGTCGCTAAATGTTGTCAAATATGTATTGAATCGTACTGCAACTGTTTTCTTTGTTGCATGTACTCTGTTCGCATCAATATCGGTAACCATGTAAAAGAAGGATGAATCTAGGAATAAGCTTTAATTTTGTAAAAACTGCGAGAAAAACATGACTTTTATTAGATTCTTGCATTTATTTTGAAAACAGCAAATCTGATAAATAATATTCTAACAAAAAATGTAACATATGAATTTTTATACAAAAGTGTTTTAAGGAGAGTAAACTATCAAGCACATGTGCCGTCGGCATTATCCTTACCCGATGTGCACCACAGGGCGAAAGCACGGTCGGATTTTGCACATGATTTGGCCCTGAAAGGTACGATCGTGTACGCGCGCGTGTGTGTGTGTGTGTGTGCGTGTGTGTTTGTATGTTGGTGTAATTTGGTAGTTAGGAAATATCCGAGGAACCATGGCAATCAGGTTTAGGGATCTATTTAAAATGTTTAAATGCCTCTTCATTAACTTCGATGCATTTGTTAATCCTTCCTTGAAAGGAATTTCTCACGTCTTGAAGAAGACATCTTGCAATGCTCTTTGAATTCTCTCTTTCATTCATTCTTTGCAGCACTTTTATGTAGATACAATGTATTACAATATCGACGGTTCTTACGGAAACTATCAAAGTTCAGATTTCTTACGAAGACTATTAAAATTTAATATTTGCCGCGAAGACTATCAAAACTTAATATTTGCCGCGAAAACTATTAAGATTTAATTTATCATTCACTGCGATGACTAACAAATTTCAACTTTTGTGTATTAATTTAATGAAAAATATTACAATATTAAAAATGTGTATTTTTATCATCTTATTGTTTGTGTATTACATAAAAGATAAATAAATATTTAATTAAATTTTAAATATTTCATTTATCACGTGCGAAAGTGGAATTTTTATAACAATTCCATTCTTTGGATAATAACTTGAACAAAAAACATTTTCTTCTCAAAAAACGAAAACTTTTTTTTTTCAATTTTCTCGTAAAAGAATAGAATTTGACTGGAATTAATTTTTTTTTTATCATTGCCTTTGTACTAGCTTTCTTTTTGTCCCCAAGAAGCAATTTTACATTATTGTATGTGCCTCTTCAAGTTTGAAATTTTTAATACCTAATAAACTAATTTTCCTTCTTAACATGCGAATTTCATCATTTCTGAGTGATAATCGTAGTTGACAGATATTGTACCCATACCAGGATCAATTGATATTTCTTTAACTAGAGATATTTGCACTGGTGTCCATGTTCTGAAAATCATTAAATAGTGTTACAGCTTATAAAAATTAATTTATTATTGTGATGTACCGAAATTTGCAGGGAATACCAATTTTCGCATACACTAATATCTGAAATGTATTTTAATTATTTTGCTGCAAAACTTGAACTTGGCTACTTTTGTCGGAAAATTTGAATTTTGTCAGTTCTCTTCAGAAAATTTGAACTTTGTTGGTATCGTTTGTTCACTTGAATAACTGGAAGATTATTAATTTTCATGCGGAAGGTGGATTGCCATTTATTCTAATTGTACTCAATGTTTATTTCATAAAAACAAACTAACAAATTTTGCTATAGTCTTGAGCATTAACAAGATCTTTGGATTTCTGTTCTTTGAAGTAATTGAGCGGTTATTTTAAATTTTTCCTGTTTTTTTTTTGTAAACCATTATCATGGGTGATTATCCACCTAATGAAATTGTAGATATGATTCGTCAAGTTGGTCGAGCTGAGGATAATTATTTTCTAGCAGCGCGCTTTTATGCTGAAAAATATCCGAACAAGCGTCATCCTAATCGAAAGACTATAAAAAGACTTTGCACTAGAGCTGAGAGCGGAAGTTTAAAAAGAGAGCGACGCAAATCAGGTGCTGGTGAAGTAAAATCTACAGTTATTGTGGCAGCTGCTATTGTAGATCCTCATATCTCAACCAGAGAAATCGAAAAGCATCATGGTATCCCAAAATCGACGGCCAATCGAATTCTGCAGGCTCACAAATTCCACCCATATCACATTCACATGCTTCAAAAATTAGAAGAGACTGATTATCCTCGACGTTTAGCTTTCTGTAACTGGGTGCAAGGCCAGGTGGAAGCAGATCCAGCATTCGTTAAAATGGTACTGTTCAGCGATGAAGCTACCTTCACCAATAGAGGTGATGTTAATAGGCATAATATGCATTACTATGCAGTTTCTAATCCACACTGGAAAAGACATAAGGAGTTTCAGCGCCAATGGTCGCTTAACGTGTGGGTTGGCATTATTAATGATTACATTGTGGGACCCCATTTCTTTGAGGAACATTTAAATGGTAACAACTATTTAGATTTCCTTCAAACTGAGTTGCCAAATCTTTTAAGAAATGTACCTCTTAATATTCAGGAAATAATGTGGTTCCAGCAAGATGGGGCTCCGGCACATCGATCGCGACTAGTAAAAAATTACTTGAATGAGCAGTTCCCAAATAGATGGATTGGTCTGGGAAGTACTGCACAGGCTTGGCCACCACGATCACCAGACTTAACTCCTTTGGATTTCTTTCTCTGGGGTTATGTCAAAGAGAAAGTCTCTAAAACGGAACCCACAACAATGGAAGATATGAAAGAGAGAATTCGAAGAGCATGCCGAGATATAACTTCACGTTTTCTTCAAGATGTGAGAAATTCCTTTCAAGAAAGGATTAACAAATGCATCGAAGTTAATGGGGAGGCATTCGGACATTTCAAATAGATCCCTGAACCTGATTGCCAAGGTTGTCTGGGTATTTCCTTTGTATCAAATTGGACCAACACAAGTATACATACATACATACATACACACGCGCACGCACACACATGCACACACGCGCACACACACACACACACACACACACACACACACACACACACAATCGGCCCTTTTCAGGGCCAAATGATGTGCAAAATCCGACCGTGCTTCCTCCCCGTGGTGCACATCGGGTAATGCTAATGCCGGCGGTACACGTGCTTGATAGTTTACTCTTCTTAAAACATTTTCGTACAAAAATTCATGTGCGACATTTTTTGTTGAAACCATTATTTATCAGATTTGCTGTTTTCAAAATAAGTGCAAGAAACCTTTTACATGGTTACCGATATTGATGCGAACAGAGTACATGCAACAAAGAAAACAGTTGCAGTACGATTCAATACATATTTGACAACATTTAGCGACTTTAAACATTTCACTTTCTGAAGGTTACTGAAGCATATGTATTATAAACTATCATTTCGGACGTAAAATATCCCGCTCTTTCCAAATCCACAATAAAAAATAGGGGTTTCCATTCAAAAAACAGCTTTGACCCTGGATCATCTTGAAGGTCGTAGATCAGGACATAGTCAAGTTCATACTTGAACGTGAACATTTAACTCTTTTCAAATCCACAATGAAAGAAACGGGTTCTCGTAAAAAAAAAATATGACCTTGGAATGACCTTGAAGGTCGTTGTCCAGTACATGTTCAAGGTCATATTTGAACGTAAAATTTCCTGCTCTTTCCAAATTCGCAATAAAAAATGGGGGTTCCCATTTAAAAAAATTAGATTTGACCTTCATATGACCTTCAAGGTTGTGGCTAAGGTCGAATAAAGGTCGTCATTAAATAGCCCGGAACAAAACACAAAACTTTTATCTTTAAAATTTTTTTCTACAAGGCGTTATTTTTTAGATATTTAGGGTGGACACTTAAAATGGGACACCCTGTATAACGCGCATGAAAAATCGTAAACAATTAAATAAGTAAGCTTGGTTTCGATAGGCTCGTAAGCTGCGTTTTGATTTATACTATTCTGAATTAAAAGGAGGAGTATACTATTACTAAAATTTATTAAAATTTATATGTTGTTTAGGATGCCCCCCTCCTCTTATTGATGCCTAGGGCCACCGAGATTGCCGAGAAAGCATTTTCGGTCGCTTGAAGCAAGTGATTAATGTGAGGAGCTCGTTGTCTCGTTCACTTTCGGCATGCCGCAGATGAGCACACGAGTACATGGGCTCGTGCTTGTGGTGTCTTACAGTGCCGCACCACGATAAATGGCTGAACTTATAGGCGTGGAAAAGTAACGTTTTGACAATGAAATTTATGTTGCGTGCCATTTCGTTATTATTTGCTTAATTGTGAAAATGTGACTTGTCTTATAGACTTATCAAAGTCGTAATTATCGATGAAAACTAAAGATATCTTGGAATTTTATATGTAAGCGTATATTTTACTCGTTTCAACAGTTATCGGATTGTGTGTTTCTGCTCGAATATAGACTTACTTTACATGCCTTTTACAACCATTTACTGACTGTTAAGGGAGGAAAGGACAGTTTTCATCGATTTTTACAAGAGTTTTAAAGTGATCATTTCGTTTCATCCAAATTGTCTTTATTTAAAAATGGTACGCAACATAAGTTAATGTGTCATTCCTCACTTCTGACGTCATGATTCCATAGTCGCCGCGATTAGTCAGGAGCCTTAATATTATGAAGTAAGAATAAGAAGACTTAATTACAAGATTAGAAGTAGTTATGAAAAAAGTTCCATATACTGCCAAGTTCGCTGAATGGAATAACTTGCAACATTTTGTCGCCATATTGTGCATAACAGCTGGTAAAGGACATGACGGAAAGGTTAGATCGAAACATACGAGGTCTGTTCAAAAAGTATCGCGAATTTTGAATTTCCGCGGGTTACGTATATTCGATTTTCGAAGCCTTCCTTCCTAGTATCGCAAAATTCCTAAACCGTCGCGAATTTTTTGCCCTTAACTCAATAAAAGCGAGTTATCTCTAACTCTTGCTGACGATGATGATCCTACCGATGTTGATTATTTTTCTTCTGATGATGATGCGCCTGTTGCCGTGACTGCTGCTGCTGCTGCTGCTGCTGATGTTCATTGTTGATGGACTCCTTGGAATCCTTTGTGAGGATTCTTCTTCCAAAAGAGCGTTTTCTTCCCTTGAAATTCCGTCACGATATAGAAGCAACCGCGTTGGTAGGATGGATAGCACTACCGCCAATTTGTACTGTAAAAAAATTAAACAAATCTTATTAATCTGATAACATTGCTATATATTAAGTCAAAAACTTATACCACTAGTCGTAACATTACAGCATGGTAAGATAACTCATCTAGAGCTGTTTACATAATCGTGCGTGAGAGGATAATGTTTTTCTTTTTTTGTGAAATTTAATATTCGGGCGACATAGGCAGAACAGGGGAGAACGAAATATCCGATAAAAATATCTGTTTAAGTATCCCGAGCAACAAACAAATTTAAAGTAAAAAGTAAAAATATTATTAACTTTATTTTCAAAAAGTGCGTAATATTAGTACCTTTTTGTTTTCTTCTTCTTCCTCTATTGCCTCCTGAGTTACTTCTTCCTCGTCACGTTTTCTCATTTCCTTCTCCTCCCCATCATCGCCATTGTCATCATTAATGTTCTCATTGTCCTCCTACTCCTCCTTCTCTCCTAATTCCACTTCTTCTTCCTGCGTTAGTTCTTCCCGCTCTTCTTCGATTTCCTGCGCTAAAAAGTAATTTTTGTTATTATTATTATTATTTTTAAACTCTGTGACTAACTCTCTATATTTGACTAGCTAATTTTTTTTTTAAAGAACTTACTTATAGAAATGGTGAAACCTGGAGAGACTAGTGCTTGAATCGAATCAGACGGACTCAATTCGCCGTTCCAATTATCGTTGTCATCATCATTATCATTATCATCTAAAACAAAATTTATTTTATTCTTTATCACATTACTTATATCTATATTACATGAACTAGATTTTTCGGCTATTTGTAAAATATTTACCAATTACGATGATAGAAACGTCGCGCAGAGGCGGAACATTATTTTCCGGTTCGTGCTCTCTTCTTAGAAAAAAATAAAATATTTTAATAATCGAGATTTCCATAAACGTTTAGTTAATATTTATTTCCCCAAAACTTACTCGCTGGTATTCCCTCCTCTTCTTCTCTCATAGGGTGACGCCTTAAACTAAGTCATCTGGACGCCTCCTGCGATGCGGTATTGCATATCCTATAATACAATTCGGTTCTATTAAATAAATATTATATTTTAATTTTTTGTAAAGTAAACTTTTAATGCTAATATACTCGTACAATTGTAGCGTAAATATAAAGTTTGAAACAAATAAAATAAAATTAAATAAAAATTTATAAATGTTTTAAGTGTAATACGTCATACCTACAATAAAATAGTAAGTATATAAGTAAATAAAAATAAATATTATAAATTAAAATTTATAAATATAAATAGTATAAACAGTATTTATCTTTATTATAGTTAATATTAAAATCCATTTCAGAAGGGAGAGCGCGCATCGGATAACAATATAATTAACATCAGTGTATATAATCAATATCAAGGATACTGTAAAATTGAAAAGAATGCATATAATTACATATATATATATATATATACATATATATATATATATATTATATATTGCTACAGATAGAAAAAGAAGTAATGATATTGGAATATATAATTATATTATAGTATATAATATTGCATCTTATATATTCATCATATAATACATATATTTATATATAAATGTACTGATAATATAGAAATTTATTATATAAAATAAGCACAAATAAAAAAATCAATTCTTATAAGTAAAAATTTTATTAATATTACATTGAAAAATAAAATATTTTATTGTTTTTTGGTTTTCAAAAAGTAAAAAGTAATTATAACGTAAGAAAAAGAATTGTTTTTTTGTGAAATAGACAAGTTAATATTTATATATAATAGATAATAAAATGCATTCCCTTTCAAAATTTATTGTAATTGTAAGTATTGAGGAATTAAATAAATTATTGCAAATTATTGATAAATTATGAAAATGCAATATAGAAATTTGTCACGACCACATTTCATCGCAATGTGCTGTCATGTTATAATCTTTAATTTAATATCATTTTATGAGGTATTAACCATTAGGTATTTTTTTCTTCTGATCATTATAACATGTACAATGTCTGAGCAGCATATACATATGCATCTACATGTATTTTTGAAAATATATTGTGACGATATCACAACACATATATGATACATACTGGATACAACATGACATCAATTTTATATCTTAAGGAAATGTTTTTGAAGTCAGACAGAGAAGAGAGAAAAATAGAAAGAAATGAAATTTAAAAATTAATTTAGTTGTAATATGTAATAAATACATGTGTGTGTGCGCGCGTGTGTGTGTGTGTGTACATAAATATATATAAATTTCTATCAGATAACAGGAATTGTTAATATAAGAAATTATTTAAGAAGTAAAATATTGTATCTTTTTTATTGTGTATAATATACATATTTTAAGTATAAACACACACACTTAATATAAAATTATGTGTTACATATAATTGACAAAAGAATATAATGATTGTAAAAAAACGTTTTTAAATAATAAACAGTTATATGTATTTTCTAGTTACACATTTTTGTCATTTTAATTATATATATATATATATATATATATATATATATA